TCCAAGCCTGAGCACTAAGCCTAAGCCTAAGCCTAAGCCTAAGCCTCCAAGCAAGCCCAAGCCTAAGCCTAAAAGAAAGCCTGGGCCTACCAGCCTGGGCCGTAAGCCTCGAAGCCTAAGCCTCCCCCCACAAGCCCTAAGCCTAAGCCTAGCCTAAGCCTAAGCCTAAGCCTAAGCCTGCCAAGCCCCAAGCCCAAGCCTAAGCCTAAGCCTGATCCCCGCAAACCTAAGCCTAAGCCTGCCCAAGCCTAAGCCTCAAGCCTAAGCCTACGCCTACAGCCTCCAAGCCTAGCCTGAGCAAAAAAAACCCCAAGCCTAAGCCTAAGCCGCTGCAAGCCTGAGTTTCAGCCTAAGCCCGTAAATGGGGCTTGGACGAAGATGTATAGGCTGAGCCTATGCCAAGTCTAAGCCAAGTAACCCTAAGCTAAGCCTAAGCTAAGTCGTCCACAAAAACCCCGATTTTCTCTGAATCCAGGGCAAAAAATGGCTTTCCAACCTCCTAATCAGCTAATAAAGTCCATTATTTCTCCTCCCGTTCCAGAATTTGCAACTAACCCTCATCCCCAGACCAAACAACGGGCCGAACCGGAGCAAACGTATGCGCCACAAGACAGACAGACCCCACACAAACAGTCGAAAAATTAGCCTACACGGCTCGAACAGCTTCTCCAAATAGCCGCCGCGATTCGTGTACGGGCGGAATGTCGTGTAGATGATATCGATCGTGCACAGGATCTGAACGGGATTTTTGGGTCTTGTAAAACTAATTTTTAAAGCAAAGAATTTCTCTGAAATACTACACCGAGGAAATGGCCAGCCACCACTCTACCCATGGCGGCAACACAGCCGCCCGGCCGCTCGCATTTCGTTCAGAAAAAGGGTGTACGTGTAATGGAACCGAAAAAAATAAAGAAAGAAATATATAATCTACAGGGTGTCCCAAAAAGAATCCCCCTAGCCGGCCGCAGACGTGTCCGATGCTACGATTTAGGTATCTATCGAAAGCTCTCGGAAAGGCGAGTCCAGCACGTCTTGCGGATTTGCGGAATTTCGGAATTTTTGCTCGATTTTCGGCATTTTTCAGGCCAAAAGGACAGACTTTTTGTTCAAACCGCAATTTAACCGGTTTAAGCGCTTTCCAAGCTTTGTTTTGACAAACGGCTTTCAAAAAGCTGCCGTTGAGTGGCCAGGAAAAGCCTAAAAATTCTTAAATTGCGATTTTTGTAAAAAACCCCCTGGTGAGAACAACATCAAGAAAATCCGCCCATTTCGCAAAAACATTAGTAACTGATGGAAAAATTTCCAAATTCTGAAAATCGAAGGGCGTGCTGGACTCGTCTTTCCGGAAGCTTTCGATAGATACCTAAATCCCGTAAAAATCCGACAGGTCTGCGGCCGGCTAGGGGGGTTTTTTGGGACACCCTGTATAAACGAAATATTTCAAAGATTTGTAAATTTATTCGATTATCATATTTAATAAATCGCAGATAAAACGGATGAGTCTGACTGGCTTAAATCAAGACCTAAGCCGAAGCCTGAATTTAAGCCCATCCCTAACAAGGAGATGGTCTCTGCTGGGAATCGAATTCGGATTTGAAAATTTGCACACTTATAGAGCTCGACGAGACAAATCGATTGGTGTAACTTTCAGCTGCTGATACAATAACGACGCCGAGTTATAAGCATTTTAAGTTTTTGCATGCATTTTGCATTGTTTCGGCCATAGCTTCATAGGCCTTCCCCGCCTCCCCATCACCATGGTCTGGTGGCCTAGTGGTGTAGTAGGCGTCCTCCGGGGAATCTGACGAGGGTTCGAGCCCGCTCACGATTTTTATTTTTTGCTTTTTCGTCCGAAGGTTTCTCTTTGCTTTCTGAGGACCTTACATAGCTTTTTACGCATTATTTTAACTCCTCTGGTGCGCCGACAACATCGAACTTCACCGCAAAAAATTTTCTTGCTGGGCATCGAGCCCTTGTCCGACCTATGACTACATTTCCAAAAAATTTTCGCGGATGAAAGTTTTTGTTCGGATAACACACCATTTACCAAATTTACGCTTACTCCACGATTTTTTTATATGCTTTGAATTTTCAATTTATTTTGGGACCGGCATAGTCATTTCGGGTAAAAAAATCTAAATTTTTTCAAAGAGATGTTTTTTAGCCATTTCGCACCAGAGGAGTTAAAATAATGCGTAAAAAGCTATTCAAGGTCTTCAGAAAGCAAAGAGAAACCTTCGGACGAAAAAGCAAAAAATAAAAATCGTGAGCGGGTTCGAACCCTCGTTAGATTCCCCGGAGGACGCCTACTACACCACTAGGCCACCAGACCATGGTGATGTGGAGGCGGGGAAGGCCTATGAAGCTATGGCCGAAAAAATGCAAAATGTATGCAAAAACTTAAAATGCTTATAACTCGGCGTGGTTATTGTATCAGCAGCTGAAAGTTACACCAATCGATTTGTCTCGTCGAGCTCTATAAGTGTGCAAATTTTCAAATCCGAATTCGATTCCCAGCAGAGACCATCTCCTTGTAAGCCGAGTCAATACCTAAGCTAAGTCTAAGCCAAGCCTAGCCAAGCCTAAGCATAACTCAAGCCTAACCAAGCAAACAAATTTCCTGGAGTCTATGCAAAGAAATGCGTTTCCTGGAAGAAACGGGACAAGGCGTTGAGAGGTGTGTCTTGTAGTCGGTGCCTTATTCCTCGCTTCTCGACTTTGAAAGCGAGAGAGAGAGGGGAGAGAGAGAGAGCGAGAGGGAGAGAGCGAGAGAGAAAGCAAGAGCAAAACCGGCGAGGGGGTTTCCATCTGACCCATATATCCATCCGCCTTTCAATTCGACCTCCTCGCCCCTTTTCTTGCCACTTTCCCCCCTTCCCCGGATCCCTCCGGTTCCGCAGAACACCTTTGTACACAGTCGAGGAATCTTGCGGAACTAGGCGCAGTGAGTTAAGGATTATTCATGGTTCGATCAAGCGCCAAAAAACCTGAAAGTGCAAAAATTAGAAACCGATATTCCTAAGCCTAGGCTGAGCCTAAGAGATCCAGGCTAACAAGGAGACGTTTTTGAGTGTCGTCGGGAGTTTGGCACGGGACCAAGCCTATCTTGTGTAGAATTTTACGCTGATTCCGAATATGTTAAAGACTACCAGAACGATGGAACGCGCACTGTCGCCCCGAGGGTGCTGCCCCCAAGAACGCGCAGAGAGGGTCGTCATTAGTGGTGTCCCGTAACGGGCAAAGACCCTCTGGGGCTTGGGGCGCCTCTGACTCCCTTCCCTACTTGGCCCTGTGGTATAGTGGCTAGCGCGTCGGACTGTGGAGCGAACCATCGCGGGTTCGACCCCCGCCCGGTGCGCAACTTTCTTGCTCTAAACGATATTTCATCGTTCTGACGGTCTTTAACCGTTTTTGCGGAATAGCCATTTCTCGAAAGTTATGAACGATTTAAACCTCAAAACAGCCCAAAATCGGCTACTTTCAATAGTCATAAAAGGCTTCGGAATAGGTTTTAAACAAAACTTGATGGTGCATCTTGTTCAGAAAAAATTCTCTATAAAATAAGCCACTTAACTCAAAAATGTTGGAATTTTGAAAATTTTTGTAAAATTATGGACCTCCCAATTTATCAAATTTTTCCAACTTTTCACTGATTTTTGAAAAGCTGGGACATTTTATAGAGAATTTTTTCTGAACAAGATGTACTATCTGGTTTTGTCTAAAACCTATCTTGAAGCCTTTTATGACTATTGAAAGTAGCCGATTTTGGGCTGTTTTGAGGTTTAAATCGTTCATAACTTTCGAGAAATGGCTATTCCGCAAAAACGGTTAACATATTCGGAATCAGCGTAAAATTCTACACAAGATAGGCTTGGTCCCGTGCCTAACTCCCGACGTTACTCAAAAACGTCTCGTTGTAAGCCCAAGTCTAAGCCTAAGCCCAAGCCTAAGCCTAAGCCTAAGTCCAAGTCTGAGTCTAAGCCTTAGCTTAAGCCTGGACCTACCAGGGTAAGCCTCGGCCTAAGCCTAGCCAAAGCTAATCCTAAGCGAAACATAAGCCAAGAGTATGCCAGGCCTAAGGTAAGCCTAAGCCCAACTAAGCCTAAGCTGCTCCTAAGCCAGCCTTGTACGCCTAATCCTAAGCCTAACTCTAAGAAAAAGGCCGTACCAAAAGTCCCAACAAGCCATTATTATAAAAGCGGCCGGTCGAGTTGCTGAATGGCCGGTCCGGATGGATGGGTGCGGAAAATTGGGCGGCGAAGTCTTGTCGTGGTCGAAGAAGAGATCTGGTCCACCCTTTCTCCCCTTCCCTCCGTCCGTCCATAGTGTCCACCCGTACGGCCATTCAGCCACCATCCCCCCTCGACAAACATACGGTGGCCACATGCGGTTGGGAGAGAATGGGAAAATGGAGAGGGCACAGAGCCGCAGATTGAATATTTGGCCATGTTTCAATCGGGTGCCTGGGCCTCCGGGAGACCTGGATGAACGGTGTGGGCCCTACGAATTTTTTTCCCCGGAGCTCTCGACATGTCGCTATTTGACACCTCTGTTTTGTGTCGAGGGAGGGAGGGAGGGAGGCAGGGAGAGAGAGAGAGAGAGAGAGAGAGAGAGAGAGAGAGAGAGAAATAGAGAGAACCAGGATCAAACAGATCAAACTAGTAAAAATCAGGAGTTTTTGCGGTTTTCTTAAATTTCAAAGGTGCACGTGCGAGCGATTTAGAGAGAGAAAGAGGGACAGTGTGTGTGAGAGATAGAGAGAGAGAGATAGAGAGAGAGAGAGAACGAGCAAGGTATGGTCTTATAAATGTGTGATTCAGAGAACGCCTTCGACCAACATTTTATTCACAATTTCCACCACCGTCAAACTCCCAATTTTTCGCTGTACTTGGCCGGGTCGGGGTTCGGCCAACTCCCAATTCCCATCATCCAGCCAATAGATATTGCGCTTAGTGGTGAAGCGCAAAAATCGGAGAACCAGGTCGGCGACAGTATTGTACGGCCTCCCCAGCTGCAGCTTCAGATACGAGAAGTTGATCTCGACGACGAGGGCGAGGAGCGAGATTCCGAGAGCCCCCAGGAGGACGTAGAAGATTACGGAGAGCTGAAAAAAATCGTTTAAGGGTATTGTCAAGATCTCCAAATACGTGATCCCAAATAAACTACGCTTCGCTACGTACGCTACGCACGCTACGGGTCTATGGCGGAAATACCTGTCGTAATGTAAAGGCAGTCTTTGTAGGGAGTTGTTGGATGGAAACGGGTGGGTATATTGGGTCGTAGTGTAGGTCGACTGTCTAAATTGATGAAATGAAGTTTGGTGGAGACGGAGCGTGAGAGAGCGAGAGAGGCACGAGAGAGAGAGAGAGCGTGAGAAAGTGAGTGATATCTTACCTCTAAAGCCCCAAGCAACGTAATGACCGCATTATCGATCCGTTCCATCAGTTTTCTGTCGACCCGTTTATTGAAAATCAAACTGGCTGGGAATATCTTCAATGCCATTTTTGCCTTTTTATCCTCATTAAACTGACATTAACATTCCTTATCACCCAAACATGCGAATGGAATTGTCTATCCGTAAGGGTACTGTATTCCGAGGTGATACGATGTCCGGGCAACCAGGCAAAAGCCACCAACGGATAGGGATGCTAAACGGTATTTTGAAGGGTGAGAGAGAGAAAAAAAAAAAGAGAGAGAGAGAGAGAGAGAGAAACAATTGATTAACCTTTCGCACAAACTCGTCTTGAGCGAGTTTTTGATACGAGCCAATTATCGGCGGGTATTTGGCAAATATCTCCTCGAAAATCCGGTCACAACGGTCATAGTACTCGTACGGACACACCGGGATTTGTGTGGTACTGCTGGTGAGGAGGCGGTATTCGCCCATTCTAAAAAAACGATAGGATTGCCCGAAACGAGGGACTTTCGCAGGGGGTTCCTCAGAATCTGCTTTTTTTCAAAACAAATATAGTGAATATTTCTAAACTCTTTTTCGTAATATCAAGCCCAAAAAATTTCGTTAAAAAAGCACACATTTTCCGGTTTTTCCAACAAAACGGCGGATTTCTGACCAAAATTTCGTTTTTTTAGACAGTTTTACACTTTTTTGTTAGTTTTCTACCTAAATATAGTTAAATTTGATTAAAAATATTGCTACTTTGAACTCTAAGCACTAAAACACTAAATAAACACTAAAAACACCGATTATCTTTATGACGTCTTTAACTCCAGACATTACTAAAAACTCACTGCAAAGCCAGCAGGAACCCTCGAAAATCCTGAAACGGCAGCTCGATATTGTCGGAAAATATCAGAATTTTCCGCAAATTCGAGCCGTAATAGTCCACAAAAACCCGCATGAACAGCATGATCCACAAGACGGTGAAAATCTGAAGCTGATTAGCGGTTTTTCCAGGTTAGCGGCCATACCCTAACAGTATGATACCGCGAATGGTAGCCCGTATTTTCAGCGCCGAATCGAATCTCCGGTAAACGTCTCCAAAAGCATGTAAAACCCATTGGTTAGATGCCTGAAAAAACTTATCTTTCAGGGCCGAAAGATTTAGGTACTTTTGCAGTATCGGGGGCAGGGTCAACGACCTTTTTTAATCCATTTCGTAATATAAATAGGAATAGTTAAGAACACATCTCTCTAAATTCACAAAATTTTTGTTAAAAATCGATTTTTCTAAATACTTTGACTACTTTCCAAATTTTTAGATAGTTTTTTTTACCTGGAAAGTCCGCACCTATAATGCAAAAGAACCAAAATTTAATCTTTTGATGAAATTAATGCCCAAAAAAGCGTACTTTGCTCGCGTTTCGGCCCCGCGAAACTCGAAAAATCTGAACAGCGTATACAAGAGCACCAGGATAAATAGCATAATCAGTAGCGCCACCCAGACCTAAATTAGATGGATTTTATTGCCGACTTAAAAATCACTTACGTTCGTGGAAAATGGGCGGAATAAAAAACTGTCAAGAAAGACGGGCAGGGAATCGTCGCGAATCATAAATACCTAAATCCAGAAATTCTCCTAGAATATTAAAAAAAGTTAATTTTAGCGATTTTTGATGGATATCATGTTTCTTTATTACCTGCGTAACTTCGTATTGGCTCGGGAAAGAGAATTTGAAATCATCGCGGCGCCTTGGGCTCATCACCGCCCGGGCGCACACCAGATCGTATTCGTCGTTTTGCACTTGGCCCAGGATACCTAGAGAAAACTGAATTAATGTTTGCAATAGTTTAATACGGACATTTTGCGCATCAATAATTCGCTAATTACATAAACATTGGTACTTTCGCATTATCGGGGGGAGGTCATCGGGGAAACTCCCCTTTTTTCTTTGGAATTGAACTTTTCCATTATCGAAGAAGTGTTTCTATGCTTTTTTACTTTTCGAAAGTTGTAAAATTTACAAATTTTCATAAAAAAAATAGAAAAATGGACGATTTGACCGAATTTCGAACTTTCAACAAATTTTTTTGAGTTTTTAGCTAGTGTTTCCTAGCTAGGTAGTTTAGTTTATAGTGAAAGTTAACGAAAAATTCTATTAAATCATTTTCTATTGCGTTACTAGCGATTTTTGGACTTATAGGGCCCCGGGGGCCCCCCCCCCGGGAACCCAACCCCCACATATACCCAGAAAAAAAAAATTTTCTTGGTTTTCCTTTTATTTTTAATTTTTCTCATTTTTTTCTCCCCTTTCTTTCTTTTTTTTTCTTTTTTTTTTCTTTTTTTTTCTTTTTCCATCCCCTTTTTTTTTTTTTTCCCCTTTTTTTTTTTTTTCTTTTTATTTTTTTATAATTTTTATATTTCCCCCCCCCCCTAATTTTTTTTTTCCGCCCCCTTTTTTATGGGTATCATTTTGGGCCCAGGTACATCAAAGTGGCGAAATATCGTGATTTTTTTATTTTTTTCGAAACCCGTCAAACCCAAAAACGGTTATTATAAAAACTGACCAGTTGTGCAATCCCATCAGGCGAAATATCGCCCTAGCGGATCGTCGGAAAAGTGCAATTCGTAGGGTACTCGAGCATACCGCAGCACCATTTCACACTGCTCCACCTCCAGCCCCGAATGTGGCGATAGGCCAGAACGGAACATGTACGGCGACCCCGAATTCAGAATTGTCGTCGGGACAACGACACGGAGCGGGCCCGAGCGATTCATGAAATTAAATGGTATACTTTTAGCGGCTTCCAGATGTATGATCAGCAGGGGATGTCGAGGAAGTATAGCCGGTAATCTCATCGTTTATTCCTGCGTATCAAGTTTCCGTCTGGGTGGCAAAAGCGCCACGAGACAACGTAGGGTACCACTTTTTACGTTTTTCCAGGGTATATATAAAATAGTTTATTGCAATAAAACGAGAGGATAAGGAATTAGATGTGGAATCTTTCGTTATGTAGAGGTTTTGTCGCCGTCTGCTACCAGCCCAAACCACCCTGAAATTCGCGTTTTAACTTAAATTTTTACATTTTGGTTTAGAAATTAAAGTGTCGTTAGTGGATAAAAATCTACACGCACAAAGCAGTTATAATCTCTTTCTTTTTGACCCACCGCAACTCCAATGTCATGCAGCCGAAGCGTGTGATGGGCACGATCCACGGCCCTGTCGATTTTATGATATTCTCCCGGGAAACATTCACGCCCGATTTTTCGCCATTGCACCATTAGCTCGTTGTCCCTAAATTAACCTACATTTGCAAAATAACGTAAAAAGAAGGCTGAAAATTTATCACTATTAAGAAATAAGGTTTACATGGTTTCCTTGAGAGTTCCGCGCGCATCATGGTAGTTCTTTAGGTGCCCGATTCCGAGTTGGCGACTCGAAAATTCGGCTGGACACTCTGAGCAGCTGTAGGCCTGAAATTACTTGTATAAAAGTCATGGAAAGTCGACTTTCCGCCCCAGTAAAAACCTCCCTACCTTGCGGTTCATATGGCGCATCGTGTGTTCAAAAAGGGCAACCCGTTGTGAGGGTACTGGGTGGCTACACAACTGAAATGTTTCGAGTACAAATGTGCACAAACGTATGATTGTTGCTATTGAAAAAAACCCACGATGCATCTGACGATCTGCCGGCCCTTCGGCTGAACTTTCAGCTTTCTTGTCGCCTGAAAACGACGAAATAAGAGATAGATCGATAAGAATAAGGGTAAGAAATACGAAGTAGGCATTTAGGTATTTTAGATACTTTAAATTCATAACTACTTCTGAATTCAAAACGACACAAACCTTTGGCCTGTTCAACCCGCCGATATAATCCTTCATTACGGCCATGCGACTGGGGAAACACCGTTTTGTCAAACTCATCCATAACGCTTCGATTGCTTGCCGATTTCCGATTCTAAAAATGATATAGAAACAATAAACTCACATTGGAAACCAAGGTTTTAAAGGTACGGAAAAAGAAGCACTACAGTCGTTTTCTAACGCACCTCCGATCCACCGGTTTTGAGGCACTCCCATGGACGGTCTTTGTATGTTGACAAATCTTGTGTTCACTCATGTTTCTAAAGCCAACTTTTCCAAAATTAGTCTGTCGTTAATACCTTATATCGCAGGTTTCTTCTTCAACCAAATTGATCAGTGTAGCTTCAACCCTGGTGTCAATGTCTATCGCCGTTTGTTCCAAATCCATAAGTCCCTGGCTCGTCATCGCATTCAGAAAATCCATAGTCGTATCATGATTGACATCGTTGCGATTTCCTTGGCTTATCATCGCCGTCGTCTTCGGCTTCACCACATATCCACACTGCCATCGCAGCGCATCACGATCGTGCTTGCCCATATGGACGAGCATCTTGTGCGCGCTCATCGTGTCAATTAGCTCCCAGCAGAGCTAGTATCAATCGATTAATATTCGATTTCAGGGCGAAAGAAAGGATATTCGAACCTACCTGGCATTGCCTAAGTCCAGGCCGCGTCTTTGCAACGGTACACTCGGCGGTCAGTCGATCTCCCTCTTTCACAACACGCTCATAGTGTAGGTTGTCTTCCGGTTCGATGTAACTCTAAATTTCTTAGGAATTCTCTGTACTTGGCTATCCTACCTGCGCCTGCACTTCGTCAGCCTCGGTCAGACCACAGATCCACTGGTCGTTTAGATTGGCGGGGTATCGTTCCTGTAAAACATTGGGTTGATTATACCTTATCATCTTAACACCGTGTCAACTCTCGAATAACTCACAATCATTGACATATCAAGCGCTTCCCGCAGATCTCTTGGATATTCTAAAGGCTCCGTGTCATCCAATTGAGGTCTCGAAGCATCGGTATCTTCGTTGCATTCATTTGTATGAACCTGAATTCTGGGCGGAGATTCCGGATTTCTATTCGCCGTCAGTAGTCCTAAACAACAACTTTTAATCATTTCCGAAAAAAACAACCTGAAACCACGTTGCCAACCCTCCGCAGGAAATTGAATGCCATTTAGGCTGCTGACAGGGCGGAAAGACTAACAAACCGAAATTTTGTGTTGATGGTCAACGACTAATGAGGTAGATTGATGCCCCGGTTTCTATTAGTGCTTCAACTCCAAATGTAGCTGGAGGGTACAATGAACATCTGTACTTCCGCCAATGGATGGCGCTTGAAATCTGAAACGGCGCCCGTTATGTTATATCCAAAAAAAAACCCTATATAACCGTGTATTATCCTTCACCCCTTTGCTGAAAACTCAACAATTTATCCGTCAAAACAAAACGATGCGGTAACAAAGAGTAATCGAAACGAAACACGTATAACAACAACAACTATAACAAGTGACATAAGAAATCGGTACCATTTTGTTTTTACTTCTTTCCGCGAGCTGGAGTCCTGGCAGGCGTCGAAGTGGACGGTTGTTTCGGGGTCTTGGCTTGCTTGGGAGTCTTCGCCAGCTTCGGCGGCTTGGCGGCAGGTTCCTAGAAAAAAGTTCGATTCATAGCGCCAACTGCGATTATGTTCATAAAATGCCATTCTTTTTTGCAGCTAGAATCGATTATCTCGGCGAGTTAGTTAGTCTTCTGGCATCGTAAACGATTGAAAAACGCTCCCGTCCGAAGTTCAAAATGACATTTTATGAACATACGGTAAATTAGAATTTTCCCTTCAATAGTAGCAAATTGAACCCACCACTTGTTGCTGACGAGCGGCTCGTGCGGGCGTCATCCGAGCGCCGACGCGCCGTCCGATTGGCGTGTTGCTCTTCGGAGTCTTCGGCTTCGCCACGGCCGAGGGTTCCTGAAAGGCAGTGAAAAGCCGAAATTCCGAGTGATACCGGTGTCACGACGGTGACCTGCTTGGGCGATTTCTTTGACTTCTTGGCGCTGGGAGGGCGGGGCTCCTCTTCAGCGACAGGTTGGGCAACGATGGACGGGGTCTTGGGGCTCTAAAAATGGATAAGTGCTTTGAAATTAAGAAAAGCTGCGTCGTATAGATCACCAAACTTCAATGAAAAGTCTATAATGACCCACCTTTTTACTAATCGGAGTAGTTGCAATGTTGCTCTTGGCAGAAGCGGCCGCCTGGGGAGTTGCCAACTTGCTAGTTTTCGGGGTCTAAAAGCGTCTATCTCGCAAGAATCGCAATCATTTACATCTTTCGAAATTGGTGTGTTGGTGTCCGAAGCGGACTGCGTCTTCGCCTTCTTGGCACTAGAGGCCCAACTTCGGCTCCAGCAGCTGGAGATTTCGGGGTCTAAACATTGCATAACTACCCACAACATTTGCTTACCGTTTTCGCCGGTGTCCGTTCAGCTGACTGAATCGTGATAACCTCCCAGTCCTTATCACTGGCTTTTGCCTAAGCAAAAATATTTCCACGTAAACCGAAAAAATACCGCTTGTCCGGGGGTGACTGGGGCGAAATGGTAGTCGACGCCGGAGGCCAAAAGCTTTCGCTCGCGCTGGTTGCGCATCTTCTTTCTCTTTTTCTAAAGAAAAGTAAAAACTAAAACCATGGGTCCTACAATAAGAGCAGCAGCTTGCTTCGGAGATCTGTGCTTCGCAGCGATGGCTGCCTCTTTCACCCGGCCGGCATAGCGTTCTCGCGGCTTGATGACGCACGGGCCACGCTTCATCACGTCGGGCACCATCTCTGGGGTCAAGACCTAAACAAAATAACCATTTTCCTCAAAAATCAAAAAGAACCTTGGCCTTCATGCGGCATTCGAACATCAGATATCCATCGGTGGCCTCTGCGGCAATCTGTGCAACGGTGGCATTGTCAAACGAGACGAAAGCCCATCCTTTGTGGTTGGTTGTCTAAATCCATTATTGCTGTAATATCTAATGTACCTTTTTGCTTCGTGCGACGCGGACGCGGATAACATTGCCAAACTGCTTGAAGTAATCTCTGATCTGATCTTCGAAAAAGCCGTATGGAACGCTGCTGACCTTCACCACATGTCCAACTAAAAAAATGCATATTAAAACTGTAACTTACTACAAAACAAATAAAATCAGAGTCATAATATACCTTTGTCTTTCTGCCCTGGCGCTCCCAACGCCTTGCCAATGTCGCCCTGCGATCTCTTCTTCTTTTTGGGTACAACGTGTCTTGTTGGCTCTACAGGCGGGACCTCTGGTGCTGTCGTCATCTGCAATACCATAAATTACTTATTAATTGCTGTTAAAGTGCAGAAAAACAACTATTTGAGAAGCGCGCGTCTTTCAATAAATAAATCAAGAGAAGCCGGCAAAACCGAAGTGACACAGTGTAAATGGACATTGCCGATCGTACTACTTGGCGCGAGCACCGTCGTTTCAAAAAAGTAAAACGCTTGCAAGATTGAAATAAACTAAAGATAGGTTAGAATAGAAATATGGAAAAAGAACTGGTACGTAACTACGACGCAGGCGATGCATGCGTCAATGTCAAGTACGTCAGGTCTCGCGAAAGCCCAAATATCATTGACACCCAAAACGCAACGATACAAGGCGCTCAGCAAGCGAGTTTTTCAACCCAGAGTTGTACATCGTAACAAACATTTATCAACAATATTACATCTTTTTAAAGGATTTGCTTATTCCAGCCGCCGCCGCTTTGAAGCCTTGTGGCTTCGCTCATATTTCGATGGTCTAAAAAGGTTTTAGTGAGAAGCCAATAGCTCACTTTTCTGTGCCTGATCCCGAGCTTGATCGGCTCCGAGATCGACGTCTTTTTGCTTTCGATCGTGAACTGGATCTGCGCCTGTAAAAATTAATTTTTATTCCAAAACACGGCCTTTATTCACATTAGAAAGGAAGTTTGTATCCCCGCTGGAAATAGTACAGAACGGGAGCTACTAATCTTACCGTCGTTCCCTTCGTTCGCGACTTCGTTCTCTACTGCGCACCCTAGTTCGATCCCGGCTTCGATCTCTCTTGCGGCGATCACGACTCTTACTCCTGTCCTTGGAGCGTTTTCTGCGATCTTTCCGGTCGCGCTGAAAAAAAATATTACGAACGGTTATGGAACCTTATAACAACAAATCCGAATAGTTCCCCGACAGACCTCTTCTTTAAAAAGCCGAAGGTAACACAGATTTCCCGACTTCGACTTTCGAAACCTCGCTTCTTTTCCTAGTGCGGCCTGTTGAGCTCGTTGTTGTTTATCTCGAAGTATCCGCTCCATGAACTGGCGTGCCTAGATTGAAAAGGTCGGCTAACATATCTAATCCTACCTTTTCTTTTCTTTCCAGTTGAAGATCCGTTTGAATACGCGGAGGTGCGGGTGGTGTCGGGACCGCAGTCTATAAGCGCAGAAGCACCACGTTCAAGCTAAATGTGTTTTACGTTAAACGATCCAGGCGCCTCATCATCGAGTGCGGCCACGGCAGATGGATGTGCTGTTCTAAACTTGCAAATTCTAAATGATAGAAGCGCCTACAATTCAGTAGTGGAGGCAGGAATCTGAAAGCAGACCGACGATTGGACCGGGTGGATCGACTAAAATCCAATATATCGATCAATCTAATAAGGGAAAATACCTGCGAGGTACACGGATCAATGAGGGAAACGGGAGCAACCATGTCAGTTTTAGGCGCATCCTGAAATGGTGGTTTACATTCATGCCTAGACACCTGGAGCCGCCTTCGTTGTTTTCGATTTAGAGGGGGGGAGGGCGCATCCGCTTGGATAGCATCGGCCAGCGATTGATCCTGAAAAATAAATCGGCCCGTGAAAAGTACCCCTACCTCATGAACAAAACCGGGCGGAAGTTCGACGGTCATTAATGGTGCGGGAGGATAATACCCAAGCGCCAATTGATTGGCTTTCACCTAAATGGGAACATGTTAACGATAATAAAACTAAAAGCTACCTGCTGCTGATAAAATGAATGATAGGGCGAGTGCAAGTTGAGGAAATTAAGGTTAAACGTGTATTTGCCTTGTGCCCCGTCGAGCACGTGTTGTTCTAAAACCAAATATCGTATCAGCAAACGATGGTTGAGAGCAACAACCTCTGAGCATCCTTTCTCCTTCGGCTCCATATTTGGCCGAATACTCGGCACAATGCTCGATCACCTCCAGTTGATCGGCCGGCGGTTCCTTGATCGGAGCTGGCTTTGATATCGGGCAGGGTGCTTCGTAGAAGAAGCTCCACCTAAATGAGTTTCGATCAATTGCCAAGGGTCAGCAAAAAAACCATTTTTGAAACTCCAAATCCGGCCCAGCATTCGGGATCGGCTGGCCCTTATCATCCTCTTCCGTTGCGCTTTTCACTTTCAATTCAACGAGGTTCCGGAAGAGGGAGGTGTACTGAAAAAAAGTATTATCGACGGGAAAGTCCGCTCACATGAGTATCAGTGCTCTTCAGATTCTTCAGCAAATCGTTGCGGCTTCTGCAAAAAGTAAAGCTTGGAGAAAACTCTATCAAATTACTTTTGTGCGCTGTCTGGCGGTGGTTGTTGTACGGGGGCTGCTGGGGCCGAGTTCATAGAAAGAAGAGGGTGCAATTCATAGTCAGAATCCGAATCATCATCTGAAATGCTAAATTGGCAATGAGCGTCTAATGTTTGTACCATATTCCAAACCCAACGCATGGGTAGAGCTCGAAGCCTTCGCGGATTCGGAAGCCGTATGGACCGTCGTCGGATTTTCCCCAAACTTTCTCCTCATCCTCTTCTCACGATCGAAATCGGGCACTTTGTACTTCTTATCTCGTATCATCTTCATCATATACTTATAGTAGGGATGCAGCTGATTGTCGAATTGGAGAAAGCCAAACTAAAATTGTGCATACAGGATTCAAAAGAAAAACCGACGTGCTCATCGTTGCCCCGCTGCTTCGCCTTGATGACGATCTCCATCTGTGCACCTTTCTCCACGACAAACCCGGCCGTTCGCAGGATTATGTGGTTTTGCTTCTGGTTGGGTGGCTAGAAATAACGTAATCACTGCGAGCAATCAAAAACATACGCAAACAAGTCCCATTGGAAGCTTGATCCCTGTCGGAGGATCAAAAGCTTCAGCTTCGCTATCGCTGTCCGGGTCATCAATTTTGTCAAAAGCACCCTCCAACGGTTCGTCATACGAAAATCCGATTTCGGCCTTCTTTGGCTTCGGCGCCTCCTCGTCAAAAATGGCTTTTCTAAAGAGTAAAAAAACAACAAAAGAGGGATTTACCTGGCTTGCAGCTCAAGTCCATATATCGGTCCACATCACACATTTCCTCCTCCAGAGCTTCCGAAGAACACTTTTCAAAACTTGAATCAATATCGACCCGCACATCAGTAATAGAATTGAAGAATAACCGTACATCATAGCTAGAAAAGTAGAGATTTGGTATGAAGGGAAACCATTGTGAGCGCGATTTGACACCTAAGATCTTCTCAAAAACGCACCGATCTATCGTGATGTCTGTATCCAGCCAATTTCGAAGGTGCTTCTCGTCGGCGATCTTTCGTGCTGCGTCATCTGGACGGAAAATTGAAGAACTGTAGCCGACGATTTTTAGCCCATCCCTCTTCCTCCTCCATTCTGAAAAAATGACCATTATAAAAAGTAAGGACAGAGTAGCTAAACAAGCCGGAATGGCAAAACAAGCTTCGAAAGGCAGTAAAAGCTAAAAATAGCCCACATACCCATGGAGTTCAATTGCTAATTTGCATAATAGTCATTAAGAAGCTCGGTATTACATTTCAAGCGCGCTTCAACCAGTCGCCATTCGATCAAAAAAGTCTCATCAGAAGCCCGTCTGCGCTAGCCCGGTGAACCGATGACAAAATTTGTCACCGTTCGCGCTGGTCACCAGGTCGAGGGCTCCGTTGACAGGTAAATGGCATTCGCCTACAAGCAAGTTTTCAGTCTCTACTGGCTAATCATCTCTCTCGGCCTCGGTATCGTCATCAATGTTGGATATGTGATTGTCAATCAGGTTTGGGTGAAGCAAAAGATGCTTCAACTGAAAAATTACAGAAAATGGCTCGCCAAAGGGAGATCCGGGCGCGCCGACAGGTCGAAAAGAATGAGATGGAGCAGGACGCTGTCGTCGAAGTGTGGTACCTTGAGGACCAATATAAGCGCCAGGCGCGCGAGCGTTTCCAGAAGGCCCGCAAAAGATGGAGAAGTGAGGGGCTGCGAACTTGGCCTCTAATTGTTTTAGGATCGAGAAGGAAAAGAAGCGAGACGGATGGATCGGGCAAACCGTAAACTCGCAGCGTTTTCAAACGAATGGCATTTAGAAAGAGGATACCCCGCATGCAACTACGCCCCCGCGTGAAGCCACTACCGCCAAGATCAGCGTACAGCCAGCGACCGCCGAGCCGGCTACGGAGCCACCACCAGCTAAGGCCGTCGACGCTGCTTCAGGTATGCGGTTATTCTTAGAAATAACCAGCGCTAAAACGTTCCTCTAGCCAATGTTGGGACGGACAAGAAGAAAACATCTGGCAAGACTGGGAAGAAATCGGGCAGCAATAACGCATCGAATCCCAAGGAGTGTAGGGCGCGTTTGAAAGCACAAAACATTATTTGTTGCAGCCACGGCTAAGAAGGACCCGTCCACCAATGGTGATGGTCCGTCATCCTTGCTTTTCTGACTCTCATTTCTAGCGACCAACAAATTGACGCAGAAGACACAGAAGCAGCCGTCGATGGGCACACAGAAGACGCACTTGATGACCGGTACGACCATGAATACGCAGCAATCGATGAAGCCCGGATCTGGATCTCGGCCCAAGAAGTAAGTCGTGAACTGTCTGAGCCCCATAACACGCCTATACTTCAGAGAGAAGGGCACCGTGGAGGATCAGACGCAAAACCACGACCAGGACCAATCCCAGTAAAAATGAATGCCATGCCCGATTTCGCTTTTTGGAAGAATAAATTTGCTGCTGGCTGCTTGCACGGACATCACATTGCGCTTCGAAAGTCTCGTGAAATAAGCTTCCACGAATAAACGTGTTGCTAATTAGTAGAGCAAGATAAGCGTCTACGATGGCACTCAATCTATTTATCCGTAGACGAAATGTTACTAGGCCGATTCAAAAAAATGGTAATGAAGAAAATTCACAGTTTCGCAAAGGCAAAATTATCGCGTTGTTATCAGTGTTTCTGGACGTAGCTGCTGGTCCAAATAGTCCCAGTTATGAACCATCAATTGTTGGACGGCGATCAGCGCATGGTAGCGGACGTTGGGATCTTCGGCCGATAAAGCTTCATCACCGCAGTTTTGCCATGATTTTGCTCGACAAAACTAAAGAGACCGTTGCAAAAGCTAGAAATTGTGTTACTTCTTTCCGCGAGGGTAATGCCGCACATATTCACCGAGGTCATGAGCCGCCACGCAAAGCACAAGCGGATCAGAAGCTGTTTCCAGCAGTTGTACCAGCGCCCTAAAGCCCATTAATGGCGTTTGAGAAAATAGGGCATACTTCACGATATCCCATCGCTTACTCGTGAAATCTCTCCGCATTCTCGCGCCAGAACTTTTCCGATTTGTGCACAGGAGACCAGTAAAGTTGCCCGGATTTTACCTAAAAAAGCCGATTAGCTGAGGTCGACCAATTACCTCGCGAAAATATTCATCAAAGAGCTCAAATCTTGGACGGAGTGGTGCAGCGAGGCGTTCAAATAATCCACATCATCCCGTAGATCGGGATCCTCGAACTTTCTGGCCGCGAGAAGCTCCATGGTTTTGAGGGCCTTGCATTGCACCATTTGTAGAGCCACCTCTCGGACGGCCTGGCACTGCCCGTTCTCGCCGGCCTTCTCCAGGATGTTACGAAAAGTCGCCACGATAACTCGGATCACCTAAATGGCATATATGATTTTAGCTACCAATAAATTATACCTTTTCTTTTGTCGCTTCATTCAAAATGCCGGCGAGTGTCTGGATGACGCCAAGGGATCGGGCCTTGCGAGCGATTTCGGCGTTGAAGGTCAGACACCATATGGCACACACGAGCTGGTATTGGAGCTAAACAAAATATCCGGAAAACCAAACAAAAGTTACTTGAAAATTGATCTTCCCGTTGAATGAAGACATAATAGCTTCAAGGCCTCCCCGCTGCACGAAGGCGAGCCGGTAGTCGTCGACACGCAACAACATTTGCAAGGCACGAAGGGTGCTGTTTGTGTTCTCACTTTGCTAAAATGATAATGATAATATATCTTGTCACAGAAATCAAACCAGTTCACTTTGGAGCCCATGTCGCAGGAAGGACACGTAAAACCCAGGATCGGGGCTGACCATTCGAGGCAGAGGGCTGTAGTCGAGGGATTGCTAAATCTTGAAATTATGTGGTCTCGAAGCTACAAAAATAAATAAAACGGCCGAAATCAGTTCGCAAAAAACTAAAGAATGTTCAAAATCGCTGTGCGAGCATAAAGTTCCGGCAAGATACTAATTCCAAGTCATAGGTCAACTTTTAGACACCGGCCACAACCGTATCCGGTCGTTGCAGGACCTTAGCATTTCCGATGGGGCGTTTTCAAACCGTCCCACCCGAACCTTTCCTTTTTCGTACCGCGTTCTTTCCTGAATTCCATTATCACAATTTTGGTTTTACCTTTACTTTTCTCTTCTTACTTTCCCTCATTTTTCCAAACTTGCTGTGTTACGATGATTAATTCCATTTTTCCGCTTTCAGGTAGCTTCATCATCACCATGGCCGAGCAGAACGAGTACCTCATCGCCGTCGGCAAGGGCGCCATCGCGGACCTGTGGGGCCCATCACGACAAGCCGGACGCCTTCAACCCATCCAAGTTCTCCGAGTCGGACATCAAGGTCTTCACCCGCAAAAGCGAGGACGCCGCTTGCCCCGGGGATATCGTCAAGGCATCATTTGTTCTTGAGGTAATTTATCGCGTTTGTTTAGATAGTTTTTGTTCTAGGGTACTTCCACCAACCACGTGCTCGCACTCGTTCTGCCCTGGATGTCCTATCGTCTCGAGTGGGACGATTTGTTGTCGGTGCGTTTATTTTGAAACTGACACAATGTTTCTCCGACATTTTGCATTTTCGTTTTTCAGGGCGCCGAAGTGGTCCAAGAGCTGACGCCTTCGATGAAGGTCGTCCACCACCTTACCCGAAAGAGGATGCCTCTCAGCGCCCGTGATTCAATCGACGTCGTCGCCATTGATGCTCGCTCGATACCGTCATCGCCGCCGCACGCTCCGTGAACTTGGACAGTGTCCCCGAGGTGAAGGACCACGTGCGCACCAGCCAACATCTCGGCGGCTACGTCATCAAGGATTTAGGCGAGGGTCAGTTTTCCACGGGTTCTTCTCTATTTCGTAAAATAGAGGGCCCACTTTGATTGTCCCAGTTTTTTACGGGCTTATCGTTTTTCGGAACGGACGCTTAAAATTACCCCAGCGATAGTGGTGTTACAACAATCAAAGTGGGTCCCCTATTCCGAAATCGGGCCATTTATTCGCTTAACTTTTTCAAACTTCATATCGTGTTGTTTTTAGGGAAAATCCAATTCGAGATGTACTTCCACGGTGACCTGAAGATCGGAGGGATCTCGCTCGTCAAGAGCCTAATCGAAACGATCAAGCCGAAAATCATGGTGGATTTGGCGAAGAATCTGCGCAAGTCTATCAAGAAGGTGCCCGTGCTGCCGGCCGATATGAGTCTACCCTCATCTACACTGACCTGGTTGTTGAAGCTAATTGATTGTGATCTGTGTATCAAATTTTCTGTGATTGCCGCTTCCACTTTTGCACGTTTTCAATAAATGCATGTCCACAGTTTCGGCATTGGCTCGCGCTGACGATGACTATGCCCAAGAAGATTTATGCAGGGGATCGGAATACATTGGGAACACGAAAGACTGGGCGAAAGGGCTGGGAGGATGCATGGGTTCATCCTTCGGCGAGATATGCAGCTAGTCGGGTGGCTGCCATTCCGTGTTTTAGGCCTTTGGGGTGGTAGGTGCAACGGCAGACGGAGGCTGATCGAAGGCATACTTCATGGGCGGTGGCACAGGGTGTTGCGCCCTAAATTAGTAGCTATAGTCGCGAAATCCTCAGAAATAGTTTAGCTTTCCTTCAGAGACCTTACCCGCTAGAGTTGGTGGAAGGGATGACAATGGCCGTCTTCGGAGGCGAGGAAGTCTTTGACGGGTGGAAAACTCGGCTAAATTAAAGGATGATTACGTTTGAAAGCTCGAAGTCAGTACCTAGCGGTGCGGAAACGGACTGAGCCGTCTTGCAGCTGGAATCAGGGCCGGCTGACTTGCGGCAACTTTCCGAATTATCCTTGGCAGGCTCGGCGGTCTCTTTCTGAATTTGGATATTTGCGAGCTGGTTAGGGACAAACCTTGGCGTTTCCAGAGCTGAGGGAATTGTTGCCGTAAGCGACGAGCTTGCCGAGAAGCCCACGCTTGGCTTCACACTGCTTCTGCGGGCCGCCACATTCGATATCATACTTGTGCAGCGACACGCCGATGTTGTTCGTGACGTAGCCTAAGATATTAGTTCAGGAAAGTTCTGGTGACTTACATTTGTTTTTCTCGGCTGCCTTGATCTCCGTGTAGAGGGTAACGACCAGGCACAAGTTGGTCACCTAATTTAATGCGATTTATTTTAGTTATGTATGGGCCGTCCTACCAGCAGGAGGCATGATTCAGCGGAGACAAGGACACTATTGCGCAGCATCTCCAGACTTTGCGACCCGGAATAGCCCGGCTCCTTGTTGGCCGCCTCCTTGATGGCGACGTAGAGGAACGAGGTGAGCACGCAGCCCAGGTCGGTGGCCATAGTGAACATGCAGAGCTCTATAATTTGCGATTAGTATATGTGCTACGGCTACGCTTGGTGGAATAGACGATAATCTCCACGGTGAGCGAGATGACAATGAGGTGCAGCATGCTGACGAGCTGAAAATATTAGAATCTTCACATCATCCGTATCGTACCAAGCCGGTGGACACGGGCAGGTTTTTTCTCGACCATGATGAACCCGATGAAAACGTAGCAGACGAAGAACGCCTGGACGAGGCACAGCAGCGAGACGGCCACCTTGACGCAGATAATGTAGGCGTGCGTCGCTTCATCGATTTCCTCCACGGCTGCCGTGGAGTATGTACCAACCGTCGAGCGGTTCTTTTTCGACTTGGTCGAGCGTTTCTGAAAGCTATTCTTCCTTTCTTGGTTGAGCTGATACCTTGGAGCGGCGGCTCTTCGACTTGCGCGCCGAGCGCTTCGACGGCTTGGAGCGGTGCTTGATGCGGCCGACGCTGTTGAACAGATCCTTGCGCGCGTCCCGAGACTACACGAGAAGCTGTGTGTCGTTAAACAATGAAAATACCGGCTTCTTGTGTGACTTCCTCTTGCTGGCATCGCTTTTGGTGGCCTTGCGGGAGGCAGACTGGCTGCGCAGCGAGCTGTTCGCCGAGTTCGCGCCCGGTGCCGAGGCCGTGGAGCGGCTGTCTTGCGAAGTAGCCTGAACAGTAGATTTTCAGAAAGCTGTGTAAGGCAGTGAATTTGGAACGTACCGGCATGTTGTAGGCAGTAGATGGAGAATGGATTATCGGGTACGAGGTGCGGGGGGAATTGCGATTTTATTATATCAAAGGTATGCTAATGAGAGTGTATCTACATGCTATCAAAATTATGCTACTTATATATGTATAAAGCCATATGCTGCCGTTACATATTCTGAGCATGAATTGTAATGAGGTGGAAGCCGCTTTTTTTCTTTTGGCGTCTGGGCCTCGAGGACGCTCAGATTATTCGTTCTTTCGGATTATCGGGGACTGATTTTATTTGTATAAGTGCATAAATATGGAACGTTACAACAAATGTGAAATTGCTTTTGGTAAAATTTATCAATAGTTCAAGAGGAAAAACTGTCTGAAAACTTGTACATTTAAAAATGTGGACCTTGGATTAAAAAAAAGCGATTTATGGACGAAAAACGTTCTTTTTTTGTAATGATTTGAAGAAATAGTAATTTTAGAACAAAAAGGGCTTCACTTAAGTGAGTACTTATTAGTCATATTAGCAAAATGGGATCCTAAAGGAAAAAATTGATGCGCCCGATAATCACCCCCTCCCGGATAATGCGAAAGCACCAGATTTTAATGAAGGGTTTTTAACGATATATCGGTGCGGATGCTGGTCCGTTATTTTTTTGCCTTAACCTCATTTCTAGAAGAGACCGGAAGCTGTGGAAGTGGCAAAGAATGGTATTCTGCTTTTTGCGTACCCTTTTGCCAAGCATAATATCTTTATTGAGCAAATGCGACAATGGAAGTTCTCCGGCGACAGACGGTTAGACAATTGTTATGTAGAAAGACAGCTACTGTGAGAAAGCCCTCTTGCGGTCAACCCATATTTTGCATGAAATAGTCGATAATAATAAATACGAATAAATAGGGGGGAGGAAGTGGGATTGTAGGGGGAAAGGGTAATATAAATGGTAGCAGATTTACGGGGGACGGATTGGCTCTGGAATTAGGAATCGGCTAAGCGGCACTGAAAAAAATTGGTGTAAGAAAATCCGTTAGCGTTGTCGAATCCTCCCGGAAGCATTAGCCTGAAAGACGCTTTTTGTAAGGGGGAAAGCCTCGACTTCTTGCCAATAAAAAAATTCTAGGAAAAGCTCACGTCACAACAACAGGGCCGGGGGCTAAAAGCGAGGTATTGGGGGAGAGCAATTGCGTGGGGTTATTTTAGGGGACACACAAAAACACGCACATCAATTCGCGGGGAGTGAGAACATTTTTGCAAACTTGTTAGGGCTTTGAGGGGGGCTTCTCGCTGATTGGTGCTTTTGACTGCGGGAAAAAAGGTACTTTTGCATTATCGAGGGGGCAGCATTTTGATGGTGTCTTTCATACAATTTACAGATAGAATTTTGGGTCAAAATTATCTTCAGACGTTCGAAAAGTTTTGAAAATTTCAATATTCTCTGGAAAAATCTATTTTTTTTTGATTATTTTGGTGCTTCGAAACCGAAAATATGGCGATTTGTTACGTTTATGACTAGCAACAAACTTCGATTTCCGTTATTTATATCAAGAAAGTTGTATTTTACGAAAAGTTTAGCCCCCCGTTATTGCAAAAGCGCCTAAACAAAATTGAACAGCACTCGCACGCGAAAAACACGAAAAAGGGCAAGATTTCTGGTGGGGAGTGGATGGGTTTGGCTGGGCTCTTCGGTGTTTTCCGATTTTTTTTTGATACAGCCGCCCAGCCAACCAAAAAAGTGGCGGAACGACGAATTCTCAGCAGACGTGCGACGACTGCATCATCATCAACACGCCAACAATTCCACACACACGGTGCGTGCGACGTCAAGAAGACGACGAAGAAGAAGAGGAGGTGCAGAGAGGTCTCAGAGCATCAAGATACCGAGGAATCCGATGGCGGACATGATCGACTTCCAGATCCCACCCGATTTGCCCTTGTCCCCCTTGCGGGGACATCCGTTGAGGTACATATGACACGGGAGGCCTGGGTCTGAAAACAACGTTTTCAAGAACCTAGGTGGTGCTCAAACCTTCTTCTTCCTCCTCATCCTCATCTCCATCTCCTTGTCCGTTAGTGTGTCCATGTATGGCCACCCAGTCCGTCTCCATCGCCACGCCCTCGTCGGTGTAACCGCGTACTTTGGCCAGGTACTTGGTGTTGGCGCGCAGCATTCCGTTGCAGTACTAAAATGCTTGGATTTTATTTTATAGGGTTTCTAATTGCTTCTGTAACGTTGTCAGATCAACACCCACCGGTTCATCAAGGCGCTGCTGCTCACAGTCGTCCTCTCCGATGATAAACATGGCCTCTTTGACACCACGCTTTGAGAACGGCTGATAGTCGGAACGGCTGGCCCGGTAGGAGGGCCACTTGTCGTCGTTGTGCACCTCGAACCACGAGCGCAACTCGTAATCGTCACCGCCAAGCTAAAATTGGGTTTATGGGGATAGTAACTGGCTTACCGGGGATCTTTTCCATTATCGGGGGGGAAAGATGACTGGACTGGACTATACAATTTTAAGCAAAAAATACAGATATAGCAATTTTTCGACCGAATTCTCAAAATTTCAGAGCCATTTCCACGTTTTCTCGATGATCTGCATTTGCAAAATGCCCAATTTTATTAGAAACACTGCAAAATTGATGGAGAAAGTACGGTACCCGCCCCCCCCGATAATGCCAAAGTACCGTGTGCCGAAATTCCGAGCACGAATTTCATGGTAAAATCTCGGTAATTTTCCTCCCAACCTCAATATCCTCCGCCACAATCACTGCAAAGTTGTTGAAGGGCCCATTGAGCTCGTGCCACATATTGTGATCGTTCTCGAAGATCAGCGCCAACTCGCGAGTTCCATGCCGTTTTAGGGCCGGCTTCGAGCGGACGTCTTTCCCGAAAGCCACCGTCACCATTTCACTTTCACTTTCCGCTTCCGCTTCTCCAATCTAAACACTTGATTGCCATTTTGCTTCCTTTAGAAAAACGCCTTTAATTAGGACGTAACAAAGCCATTTCCCCTCTACTCACCCCCATAATGACGGTAATTGTGAAGGTGTAGTACGTCTCCAGGTCGAGCTCATCAAATCGATAGTGGTTGGTGTTCTTCAGCTGAACGGTCCGCTCCTTTCTGGCACCATCGTTCGACGTTGCGATGTAGCTTAACGTAAAGATGAGCTTCGTTTGGGATCAAATACGTATTTCATGTATTTTGTTGTGTGCTTCTTTATCGTTAGGGGGACTAACTTTTTCGACAAGTTCAGAAATGCCTAATATCTGCTAGCATACGTATTTTAATAAAATTTAACTATATATCGAGGGGAAGGATCTAAAACCTTTGGAAAATCCGAAAAAATTGATCGAAAAACGGTATTTTAGTATTTTGATTCTTTTATTCGTATTTTTCATTTCTCTCGGTATTCTCCATTTCATACGGTATTTATTCGTATTATCGTACTCGGGTTTGAGTTTTTACGTTTGGGAATAGTAAAAACAGCTAAGAATCAGCATTTATACTAGCAAAAATGGATACTAAAGTAAAGTCCGCCCCCCCCCCGCTAACACACCAGTACCGCTGAATGTTTTTTTTTTGTTGAATCGCTAGAAATCTCCTACCTCAGCCGGAAGCGCACGTCGTTATCGGCAAAATTTTCAATGTCCCAGTGTAGCGAGGCGTAGTCCCTCCCGACGATTGGGCGCAATTTTTCGACTTTTAGCGGGTCTAGAAAATTAAATAAAGTATAATAATATATAAATACAAAAGAATAGAAAATGCATAATTTAAAAAAAGTAAATTCTTAAAAGACAGGCGTTCTTTTGGAAAAAGCCGAATGAACGTACAGGTCGTAATTTCGGCGACAACCGGCCGGCTGCGCATCGATTTGTAGACGGTGAAGAGGGAGAACTTGTACGTCTTGCCGGGGATTAACTTGGTGAAGGTGAACGAGCGGCTAAAACGATTAGCTGTTTTCAAACGATTTTCACTTACTCCTTGTCCATGGCAATTTTCCGGGTGATGTTCTTGTTGTTGCCGGTGAAGTCGAGCTCGTAGTGCTCGAATTTTCCCTAAACGATGGAGAAGTTGAGAAGGCAATTTTAAGATTTTAGGTTATACCTGTTCCGGGTCCGATTCGCCGAAATTGATGTTGATGGAGGTGGACGAGATTTGGCCGGGATATAGCGTGGATGAGATGATTGGTCCTAGTGTTTTTCGTAGTTTTCTGGGGAAATATTCAGAAAAAATATTTAAAAAGCTTTAAATAAAGCGAATTTTACTTATTTTGGTGTTTTTTCATACATTCACCAAAAATACTTTTGAAAATTTTAGGATTTTTAGGTGATTGGTTAATCTAAAAAGCGTTTTAAAATTCTATAAAACACTTTACGTACGGGATTACTGGGAGAAATTTGGTTTCCCCGTCAGTACAGAACCTATATTTAATTTTTGAATCTAACTTCATCGTGTTGCCGTTAATGCGCAACTTACTCGTCTGCTGCTTGATGATGGCGTCTTGGCTGTTGATGCCCAACTCGCGGCTGATGTTGCGCACCGTGATGATGTACTCTTCAGTTGGCTCGAGCTTGTCCAACACGACCTTCCCCTTTTCGGTGACTTCGAGCTTTTTAGGAGGAGCCTAAACTTTGATGCTCAAGGAATTTTTGGGGCTTAATTCAGCTCTTATCTTTATACAATCCAAGCCAACCTTTCCAACGCCATACAGCACGACGATATCGTTGTGTTTGAAATCGTGGAAGACGGGCCAGTCCCATTCAAGCTCGATTTTGGCCACGTAGAAGTCGTCGGTTTCGACGTTTACAACGCGTAGACCGTGGATGGCTTGCGGTTCTGAAATCGGGAAATTAATAGAGAAAAATATGTAGGGAAAACAAGTTCCGTATAATTACTTACTGCTGAGGTCGATGATACGGTGAGCCCACCAGGTCTTGGAAAGCGCACCCGATAGCATGCAGAAGACTTTAGCCTGAAAAAATATCATGGACTTGAACCTAAAATTAGGTTGAAAAATTTTGTAAAATTTAAATCAACAGTATGACCTCCAGCTTATGGTCGGTGAACATTTTGATGAGTACGAAGCTGTCCTGCGAGGCGACAGAGAAGGCTTTTGGTTGGGACAGCGTCAAGACGGTGTAGTTGACGAGGAAAGCGTCACATACTGACTCCTCGGCCACTTCCCATTCGATTCTGGAAGGCAGTGAGATCTTAGGAAGGGAGAGAGAGAGGCAGAGAGAGCGCGAGAGCGACAGCGAAAGAGAGTGAGAGAGCTAGTCAGAGAGCGTGAGCGAGTGTGATAGAGCGCGAGTGAGAGAAAGAGAGCGAGAGAGCTAGTCAGAGAGCGTGAGCGTGAGAGAGAGGGAGCGTGAGAAAGTGAGAGAGTGAGATAGAGAGCGAGAGCGAGATTGAGTGAGAGCGAGTGAGTGGGTTCGAGTTCGAGGTCCAGTCCACGAGAGAGCGCGAGAGCGAGAGCGGAAGAGAGCGAGCCAGAAAGCGGGAGAAAGACGACTTGAGCATTTTTCCCTCCTTCGAGATCCAAATATCCGACGGATCGCCATAACCATCCGGGTTGATGCTAGGCTGACCAGCTTCTTCCGCAATCACCCCTGGCACTGGGGCTGAAACCTCGGAGCCATAGTCGACCACTTCCGTTTCGATGGCCTCTGTCGTTTTTGGGCCATTGCTCGGGTTGATCTCCTAGAGTTTGGATTGTTATAGTGCTAAACTTTGGTCAAAAAGTGTCAAAATCCTAATTTTCTACAGCATATGTGGCCAATTTAAAGGGGCTGGCAAGGCAAGGCGATTTAGCGATTTATCGTGATGCGGAAGGCGGCGTCGGCGAAGTCCATAGAAAACCATCACTAATAAATTCCTGATCATGCCTTGCCTGTCCCTTTAAAACACCACAGAAAAAACCGTGTGAAACACTCGCACCTCTCTGCTGATGATGGGTGCTGTGGTGGATGGTGTGGTAGTGGTGGTGGTGGTGGTTGACGTCGTGGTTGTCGTCGTTGATGATCTTCTCGTCACTTTCATATCACTCTTTTTGGTGGTTGACTACAAAAATAGTTATTGTGGGCAAGATCTGGTTTGAGAATCTTTCGGTTCTTCACTGTTAGCGGGGGTGGGGGGGATTTTCGCAAGGGAAAAACCACTTTTTGTTTTTCGACCTTGCTAGAAAAAGAAAAACGTAAAAACTATTTTTTCAAACGTCGAAAATTCTTTAAAATATAAAATTTTTACCTTTTTTTGACAATTTTTGAGCGAAAAGTTAAAAACCGTCAAAAATTTTTCTTATTGTTTTATTAGTTTTCTTCTATTGTTGTAATATCGAAAAACTATGTAAAATGCTATAAAAATCGTCGATGTTTTCTTATAGGGCCCTAGAGAATAGCAGGGAAAATTTCGTTCCCTAGAATACAGTCCAGGACCAATATTTCTATAGCAAAAGATCTACACAATCTCGGGAACGCGTCAAACCTGAAGACGTACTTGGGGTGTGGTGGTGAACATTGTGGTGGTGGTGGTGTGGGGGTGAAATATCATGGGTTCAGTGCTGCTGCCATTCTCCAATTCTCCATCCGGGACGTCGACGTCTCGATCCGACTCATCATCTACTTCGAGTTCTTCTTCAGCCGTCGTCGGGAGAATTGTGGTGGATTCAGACGGGGTATGCGAAGTGGAGACCTTGTCGGTGACGGTGATGACAATGCGCGGGACTGGTGGTGCTTCGGTCACCTCATCTACCGGCGTCACGCCCTCGGGCTGGTAGTAGTATTGGTCCCCATCCGGTGTGACGTCCGTCTGAATTACACTCGGTGGTTAGTGGTTTTTTTGGGTATTTTATTATCCAAAATTTGTCGAAAATTTTTTAAAGCTTGAAAGTTAAAGTGTTTGAAAGTTGGGTTTAAAAGTTTCATCAAAGGTTAAAACTATAAACGCATTAATATCAGCTTCATCACGTCAATGAATATCACCTTATTAGGCTAGAAAGAACACAAAATTAATTCCGCTGCGAATTTTAGGATTTTTAGCCTATAAACCGAACAAAAACATGTTGGAGCAGTTCAGCTGCAACAGGCCAAATGCAGACGACGCGGCATAATCTATCTTTAAACTAATAAACCGAAAGTTAAGCGCACCACCCTAAAATCACGGCTTGAAAAGCTAGCGCAAGTTCGAGCAGTTCAGTCCACAGTTTTTCATACTTTCCGTTTCATTCCGTTTAGTACAGTGCTCATTCCTAACGCCAAAACCGCATTCCATGGGAGAAGGTACTTTAACTGAAGAGAGCACACTCCGAAAAATCCACACCAAAAGCTCGAACCTGATTCTTCTGCTCTTCCACCAGGTTATTGGCAGCTCCGCCGGCGCCTTGATAATCTTCTTTCGACGCGTATTCGTATTCCTTTTCTTTCGAGCCGTCTAAAAGGATATTTTAGTTGTGCGGAAGTCTTAGCTAAGCCAAAGCCTGGCTTAAGCCAAGCCTAAGCCTAAGCCTAAGCCTATATCAGGCCCACTCACACATTATCATCGATACCCAACGCTTTAAGTATATCAAAGTTTTTAGAAAGCATTACATAAAGCAAAACCTGCCAGCGGAATTAGTAGATTTGCGGAAGCTTGGGAAATCTCTTAGAATCATCCTTTTTTTTTTGAAAGCAAAAAATAGTCATGCATCGAAAAAGAGTTTGTAAGCATTTTTGCGGGCCAAAACGTAGCATTCAAATAAGTAATTTCCATGCTAAACACTCAAAAAACATCCAAAAATTAGGTTAAATGATTAAGTCGATTCAAAGCGAGTATCAGGCACTAGAATATGTCTCTTTCAAAGAATAATTAATAAAATATCAGTATCCACAACGCTCCGCTCGGCACTCGTCCTTACTCGTCATTGTGGGTAGCGTCACGGAGCCGAGGTCGAGGTCCGGGGGCAGGGTTTTGATCGTGAAGAGGGACATGTCCTCGCCCGAGCCGAGGTCTGAAATGGGCCAGCAATGCCCCCAGTCGATTAAGGTTAGGAGGCGTTGTGTTTAGGGGCCATTTAAAGGTATCTAGAAACCGTAGAATCGGCCCTTTCTTCACTAGGTCTCGACAGAGAGTTGCGGCTCGAAAAACATGAATATTCGCGGCTTTCCTACCCCTTTAAAGGCATTAATAGCCTCCCAAAGTCCCGACCCAACCGATTCCCCGATTCGTGCATTAATAGACCCAGGCGGCGATGCAGTTTTGGAAAATTATTAGAACTTGAGCCGAGCAATGTTTAGCAAGCAACAATTTTCACGTACCTTTCGTGGAAAATGTCGTATCGATCGATTCGGTAGATGGCACGCCGCGGAACACGGAGAGCACGCTATAAAATCGATTGGGTATGCATGTATTTTACAATCTCCATACCGCAACCGAAAATTCGTTGACGGATCGAGGCCGCGAAGTTTCACCAGCGCCGACTTCGTCTCCACAAAATTTGCATATTCCTCGCGGTCGACGGGGAAATATTCTGAAGAAATAAACGTGGAATCGGCGCAAGAAAGGCTATAGCAGTAGTAATAATAAAATTTGAAAACGGTGCGTGCCAAAATATTTGCTAACGTTTTGGCGCAGTTTGTTGTCGTTTCCGATTGTTTTTTAAAACGGCGTTAGATGGAGCTTTAAAAGAGACCGGAAACCGCCTTACCGATGTAATACGAAATCTCGCTGCCCTCAGGCGGAAAATACGAGATGGTCGCATCGGTGGGGGTCGTCTCGATCGAGTCCAGGATTGGCGGATTTGGGCCTGGAAGTGTTACATTAATTGATTGGATCTGGGTTTAGGATAGATTTTTCGCTCGCTAGCTCTCTCTCTCTCTCTCTCTCTCTCTCTCTTTCTCTGCTCACCCTCTCTCCCGCCCCCCCAGGTAGCCAAGCGTATGCATAGCATACGCTCATCTATGTAAGTATGCTTTAAATGATCACGGTCACCCTAGCAGAGGTGCAAAAATGACTACGCAACGCTACGGGGGAAGCCCGATGGCAAACAGGCTTATTGTTCAACGGCACGCGACACGCTGTGTCTGTTCGACAGTGGTATGTTTGTAAGTCGGATAATACCATAGCTGGGAATGGCGAGAGAGAGAGAGAGAGAGAGAGAGAGAGAGAGAGAGAGAGAGAGAGAGAGGGAGGGGAGAGAGGGACAGAGGGACCAACTTGAAGGGAGATGCTTCTCGGAGACGTTCTTTCTCGACCCATCTGTCATCAATGCCGTCAAAAATATGGAATAATCGGTGGCGGGCATCGTCTGATTGAGGAGCAACTGTTGGGTACTTCTGAAAAATAAGAGTTGCCATCGATAACAAATGCGACATCACGGATGATGAATTATGACAAAAACTCTCACCTCGACAAGTGTGTCCCGGCAGGCGGAATGCCGACTGGGGGCGAATAATCGAGGACGAATGCCCGAACACCGCCATTCGGCATTTCCGAAGACCAGTCAAGGAATATTGATGAGGCATCGGTCTGAAAATTTTTGGATTTAAGTGTTCGGGGCCGGGCAGATCTTAGAATACGGGCCGAGGTTTCTAATGGACGCACGCAACGCTTACGCAAGACAAGACGCACGCGACGCAAGCCGCGACGCATACGCAAGCCGCGACGCAAGCGCCGCGACGCAAGCCGTCATGCACGCGACGCAAGCCGCCACGCAAGCGAGGCCCCAAACGACGCGCCACGTGACTCAAACCGTCACGCACGCGACGCACGCGACACACATACGCAAACCACGACGCATGCTCACTCACCTGTCCTATAAAAGCCGCAAAAATGATGGTAAGCACTGAGAGGAGGGCCATGGTGTCAGGGCCATACGTGGCCGTATCACGGGTACCCGCCAGGGCCACCCCTCGATTTGTACGCCACAATACGCTCGAAACAAACGGGCACGGGCCGGCGGCCTGGACCACGTGGAAACGGGGTGGATTCTGAAACATCAATGAAATCATCAAATTTTTAAGAATGCAATGTGAAAGAAAACTCGCGCGGCAGCCCTGATTTTTCAAAATTGTAAGTAAAAAACCTGAAAAACAATTTAACATTGAGCAAATTAAGAGTATAAAGAGCCTTTTTAAGAGACAATAACTAGAAGTAAAATAAATTTCGACGATTAATGTCGAGTAAAAATCGATTGGGTGGAGATCCGAAGAGCAAGGGTTCACCCTTGTTGACAAGCTTGCATTTACCAAAAGGGCTTCCTCAAGATAGATCAAACAGCGCGAAAAAGTCTCTAGTTTACGTAAGTACTTAAATTAAGGTAACTAATTCACTATTACTACATTTATGGGTAGAACGATTTCCAAAGCAATTTCTTGAAAAATTTTTCTAAGAAAATCAATGAAGACGCCAAAAACTGGCTTTATGGGAGCTTGGAAATGGCATAAATCATGAATGGCAATGCTTGAAAGCTTCTCAACGACGGGAGGTTAAATTAAAGGACGCGGGGAAGCCTGGAAAGTAGCTTCCCGCGACCTACAGCTCTCGACAGCTATGAGAAATTGAAAATAGATGCAGCGTGTACGGAACTAACAGTGTTTCGGGGCAAGTTAAAAGTATGCCACTTGTGTGATTAGGTGCAGGGCGTAGTTATCGAGACCTAGGGCCAGGAAGGATCGATTTTGAGCAAGTTGAATTACCTTAAAAGCGCAGGCATAGACGCGTGTCGATGCGTAAAGTACGTCGGCGGACGTATTGCCTACCTACGTGGTTGGCGTTTGTAGCAAAAAAAGTAAGGGCAATAAAGACAGCAAAAATGCCACTTAGAAAGTCTATAGATCAGCAAAAAAATTGCAAGCCCAACGTTGCAAGCCGGCTGAGAGTGTGGCGAGCAGCCCAGCGAGATGGTGAAGGGCGGGAGGGATCAAAGGCCGTCCAGCTAAAGGGATAGAAAAGAGGGTGGATTGGATTGGGTGGATGGGGTGCCCTCAACGGACCATCCATCCAATGGTAGAAGGGCGGGAAAAGGGGCTGGTTGGCCCCGGTGACGTCGACGGCATCGGGATGGGTGCGAGAGAGAGAGGGAGAGACACTTCTCACGCATTCATTCGTACCAATGGGCAGACAGAGAGTGAGAGAGAGAGAGAGACATACCGACAGACAGACATGACAAAACCCGGCGAATCTCGCTACATACCAGAC